CGGGAGCGCCGTCGCACTCCCAAGTGGCGCACTGTAGCAGTGCGCCACCGGGCCGGCCCATGGGTATATTTTTTTAGTCAGTGCATGCTAGGAAGCGGTCCACATGTACCAAAAGGTTGGGAATTTCTGAACAAATTCTAAATTCTTGGTACTTGTAAGGATTTTATGGATAAAATTAGAATAGTAAAATAAAGAAAATGTTGGCATAGAGATTTTTAAGAATTTAAAATTCAAACTACTTTGAAATTATACTTTTATTACCATATATCAGTTATTCATATAAACATTTTTAGCAGACTACTTAATGATTGCTCCTGAAGGAAGGAACTGGTCATACGTTTTCAGTAGTCCTCCCTCCACCCTTGTACTGCCACGTATAAGGCAGTTATTCAGCAAATATTTGTTCATTGATTGGTTTCTTCAGAATTGTAGTTTTTTATAATAATAAAATACAGGTTTGGAGTATAACTGATAGCATATGTGCTCATTTAAAATTATATAACTACTTAAGCTTAAATTTTTAGTTTGGTTGATAGCATAAATTAGTTTTTGGTCAGCATATTTTCTGAGTTTTTCTAAGCATTTTTCAAGGAGTGTTTTCTATAGAATTTAAACTCCTGGTATATGATGGACATAATAAAGATCTAATTTTAATTTAACAAAAATCGTAATGTTAATTGTTTTTCAGGTGAATGCAGAACATTGACACAAGAATCATGTGACATATCTCCAGTATTAACCAAAGCAATGGAAGCCCTGCAGGATAGACCTGTCTTATATAAGTTGGTGACTTTTTCCTAATTAAAAAAGAAACCCTACTTTTTTTTTGATAATTCACATTAATTTCAGTATTATCAAATTCATATACAATATTTTGAGTAATATTTATAATAATTTATAGTGATATTTCCACCCCATGTTGCATAAGCTTATTTGAATATTACATGCTATATAATACAACATGGAGGGAAAACCAAGGTGTTTCTGCATCTGGACTACCTCTCATTTATGTAGACATAAAGTGTCCCATTAACTTCCTTGGAACTGTAAATAACTAAAACTCTTGTATCAACCCTACCCTGGAGAGAAGGGGGTCATATAGTGACTGAGAGATATTATTATAATTACCAGAGATGAAAAAAAAGAGTGTTTGATATGAGAGTTTCATTAATAAGATTTAAGAAAAGAGAGGGTATAGGTCTTTGATCTTGTAAGTTATGCCAAACAACAGCTACATGGTAATGCTTTGGAGAAGACCCCTGTGCATTTTAAACTTGTTTTATGTGTATGTTTATTAGTCTATACATTTTTTAATTTCTTTAAAAATAAAAAGTAAGTACCTTTTTATTCTTAAATACCCGGAACAGTATGAGAATAACCTTTAGCGAGACCAAAGGTTTGTTGCTAATTTGGGAAACAGAAAGTTTATTTATTTATTTATTTATTTATTTATTCTTAAATACCTGGAACAGTATGAGAATAACCTTTAGCGAGACCAAAGGTTTGTTGCTAATTAGGGAAACAGGGGGACTCTTACAGAGGCATTGAATCCTTCTCTGAATCATCCCTTTCAGATGCTTCTTATACTATTTTTTAGAGGATTTCCTCATTACTTTCTGTTTAGAACATTTCTTATCCTCTAATAAGGTTAGAAAACACAAATGCTGGGACAGCTGTGTGAAATAATCACACTCTAGTGCTACTTTCTGAGTACTTAATATGTGTTAAGCACCATTCTAAGTGCTAGAGACACAACATCAATAAAACACTGCTCTCAAATGCTTTATTTTATGGAACCATACATAAATAAATGCATTTTAGTAGAATATATTAATTGCTAGTCTAAAGGTCATGTCCCAGGTGCTGTGTGGCTCAGGTATTCTGAGGTAGGGGAATGAGATAAACATCATGGAAACTTTCCTGAGCCAAATAGGTAGAAAGTAAATTCTGAAGATTTAATAGACATTTTCTTGTAAGAAAAGGGAGGATAGAACATTTCACGTTGAGGGAACAGCCTATGCAAAGACATGGATCGAGATAGAACATGCACCTTTCAGAAATTAGTTGCATACGCTTGCACTGGCTGTTGAGTTAGTAGCAAGGGCCAGATTGTAATAGCCCTGAGTGTTGTGCATGTACATATGATAAGCTAATGTTCACTATTGATCAGCAGCTTAGCAGTTTTTTTCTATTTGGAATCTCCTTCCCAACTTTTTCACTTTAAAATATTGAAGTTGATTATGAGAATCTTTTAGTGCTATACTTGAAACATTTGGTGTTTGATTTTAATTGTGTTACATTGTCTGCAGATTAAAATTCGGTTAATCTTTTTTTAAAAAAAGCCTTTGTGTATTTTGGGCACATGAAAGGGACAGCTAGCTGTCTTCTACCATGCAAATAAATTTTTACTAAATTGTGATTCTTGATCAACATGTGGAAAGGAGCAATAATGAATAATGGTTTATAAGGTGGGCTCTTGAGTCAGATTTCTTTGACAAGCTCTGAACCTTTGTAAGCTTCAGTTTCCTTAGGTATAAAATGAGGGGAATCATAGTGCTCATCTTACAGGGTTGTTGTAAAGATTTAGATTGTTCCCTTAAGGTGCTTATTATAATGCTTGGCACAACACTAAATTTTAGATATTATTTTTATTTTGAGAGAAGGTGACTAAAAAGCTGTGAACTAAGGAGGGGAGCGTATTTAAGGCCTACATGACAATCATGGGAAAAACTTGAAAGACAAAGAAAGGAGAAATAAATAGGGAAAGAAAGTTTATCTCTGAAGGGCACATGTGAGGAACAAGGCAGTATTGGCAGTTTGGAAGATTGTAAAACATTTAGAAGTTGAGGGGGAAGTAGGTTTTTAAGATAAGTTGATTAGGATGAGATGAATGCTAAAAAAAAAGGAAGTTCACCTTTTTTAAATTGAAACATTGATTATACATATTTGTGAGGTACATACAGAATTATATTATAATGCACATATACAGTGTGTGATGATCAAATCAGAGTAATTAGCATATTCATCATTACAAAACATAATAATTTCTTTGTGGTGAGGACATTCGATCTCTCTTCTAGCCATTTGACAACATGCAGTAAATTATTGTTAATTATAGATGCCTGGCTTGACTGTACACCAATAGAAGTTATTTTTCCTACCTGTTTTGTGTCCATTAACCAACCTCTCACTATCCCCCCTCTCTCTTCCCCTTTCCGCCTGTAGTAACCACAGTTCTGTTCTCTCCTTCTGAAAGTTCAACATATTCTTGTGATTACTTTTTCTTATTTATTTATTTATTTATTTNTATTTATTTATTTTTAGCTCCCACTTATGAGTGAGAATGTGATATTTCTCTTTCTGTGCTTGGCTTATTTCACTTAATATAATTTTCTCCAAGTTCATGCTTCCTGGTGTGAATGGCAGAATTTCATTCTTTTTTATGGTGAATGGTATTCCCTTGTATATATGTAACACATTTTCTTTATCCAGTCATCTGTTGATGGACATTTAGGTTGGTTCCATATCTTGGCTATTGTGAATAGAGCTGTGGTTACCACTGGAGTGCAGGTATCCCTTCAACATGATGATTTCCATTCCTTTGGGTATATACCCAGTAGTGGGATTGCTGGATCATATGGTAGCTCTATCTGTAGTTTTTGAGAAACCTCCGTACTGTTTTCCATAATGGCTGTGCTACTTTACTATCTCACCAACAGGGTACAAGGTTCCCCTTTCTCCACATCCTTGTCAGCATTTATTATTTTCTATTTCTTGATAATAGCCAGTCTAACTAGGGTGAGATGATTTGCATTTCTCTGATGACTAGTGAAGTTGAGCATTTTTTCATATATCTGTCGGCTATTGGTATGTCTTTTGAGAAATTTCTATTCAGGTCCTTTGCCTTTTTTTTTTGTTATTGAATCATAATTGATTATACATATTTTGGGGATTCAATGTTGATCAAATCGATATTACTAGTATGTATATTACTAGTATTACTAGTATGTATATTGTTACAAATTTTACTTATTCTTTATGCCCGTTGTCCAATCCTCCATATCCTCCTTCCCTCCCCACTCCCACCACTGATAACCCTAGATTTCTTCTCTCCCTCTGAAAGAGTAATCGTTATTCTGTTGATTTGTTGTCAAGATGATATGTCCAGTGCTGAAAGGTGTGTTCAGGTCCCTTTGGCCATTTTTTAATTGGATTTTTTTTATTATTGAGTTACTTGAATTCCTTGTATGTTCTGGATATTAATCCCTTGTGGGATGCATAGTTTGCAAATATTTTCTCCCATTTTGCAGGTTGTCTTTTTGTTCTGTTGATTGTTTCCCTTGCTGTGCAGAAGATTTTTAGGTTTTTTTTTTTTTTTTTTTTTCTTTTTTTTTTTTTTCCGGGCCAACAAACGGTTTGAACCCCCCAGTGCCCCCCCCGCCCCGGCCGGGGC